CAGCGCTCGGTGCCCAGCGCCAGCCGGGGACATTGGCACTGCCACTCCAGGAGGGACAAGGAGCCGCTTTGTGACCGGAGCAGGGACAGAGGGACACCTGGGACAGCCCTGCCACCACCCCGAGATGGGAGAGACCGCGTCACTCTGTCCCCAGTGGTGGCACTTTGGGTCCCCGCATGGTGTTCTCTCCCCTGAGGGAGAGCAGGACCGCGAACACCCTCGGTCTGTCCCCACTCCGTGACCCCGGGCACCTCCAGCTGCCACCGCAGGAGCGGGCAGATGTCCCTCAGCTCCCCGGGGTGGCCGCCGGGCTCCCCTAAGCTCCTTCCTGCCGCGCATCTGGGATTGTTTTGCACGGCCGCGCTCCGGGCTCTGCTCCCTGCYGCGATCAAACATTCCAGACCCACTGCGGGACCCCACCCCTGACCCCACAAATATCCCGACCCCGCCTCGAGTCCAGCGGGATGGGGACACCCCCAGACCTGGCAGCAGCAGCCGCGATGCYCGAGGTGACCCCGCCGCCCCAAATCCCTGAATCCCACATTTCTGTGGATTAATGGGGTGCAGCGCACCCCAAAGAAAGCAGCATGGGGTGCAGGAGGAGGAAGGAGCCCCCCAATTCCCCCCGTATTCCAGGGGATGCGGGTGAAACCCCCTCCCCCGGAGGTGCCCCGTCCCCTCGGCGGTGTCCCCGGACGGGGAGCCCCCACCCTGCCCGGGGGGAGAGGAAACATCTGGCAGCGCAGCCCGGCTGAGCAACGCGGAGCTGGGCCCAAACATCTGGATTTCCCTGGAAACCGGGCAAGGGGAGGGGGGGACCGGCTCCCTGCGGGAAAAGCGGGGGGGGGCTGGGGCAGGGGCCGGCTGGAGGGACCTGCGGGGGACACGGGGACTGTCCCCCCTGCCCAGCGGGCCCGGCCCTTCCCCTCCCTCCTTCTCTCCTCCTCCGCCCAGGCCGAATTCCTCGGCCATGACATCTCCGTCCACTCGCCCTTTTGCCCTCGCTGCGGCCCCTCCGCGCTCCCCGCGGCTGCGGTGCCCTCGGTGGGGCAGAGATSCGTGCCCAGCTGTGCCCAGCTGTGCCCAGCTGTGCCCGCAGCCGGTGCAGGGASGCTGCCCTCAGCCCTGGCCCGSTGCCCGCTGCCTGCTGCCCGTGCCAAGGGAAAAGCGGCCGCGATGGAAAACATCTGCCTGGGTCTGCGGGGCGGGAGGAAAACGCCCCCCAAAAAACACAAACACGGCGTCTCCCAGCAGAGCTCCCCGCTGCCACGGGCACGGTGGCATCCTCATCCTCATCCTCACCCTGGTGCCATCCCCCTCGCGGGAGGAGGAGGAGGAGGAAGGACGGGGCAGCCCGAGGGATGCCCTGGGAACGCGCGGTGCCCGGGTGATGCCAGCTCGGGCTGCCATTCGCCTCTGCCCCGTGCCAATTCTCGGCGCAA